GCCCCCGCCCAGTTGCTAGGCAACCGCCCTCCCTCAGGGGCGCCCCCTAGACCTTCCTGGGAGGAGGGCTCTCGCCCCCGGCGGCCCGCCCCGGCCCAATCAGCGGGCCCAGTCGGCACGGAAGCGGGACGGCGAAGGCTCCCATTGGGCGTAGCGCCTGTCACGGACAGGGGAGGCGGCGCTCTCACCTGCGAGCCCCGCGAGCCGTGTGGGGGCCACATCCCCCTTCATCGGCCTGGTCGTTTCCAGACGCGAGGGCTCTTCGCAGCGGCGTTCCGCGCCGCGGGCCCGGGCCGGCCTACCTGGCTGACTGCTGGCGTCGTCTCTCGAACAAGCCGGCCTCAGTTTCCCCTGAAGAGACCGGGGGAACTTGCAAGCCTAGTCACTTCCGGTGCCGCGGCAGCGCGCGCGAGCCCGAGACGCAAGGGGAGTGCGCGCCTCGAGTGATTAGCGTCAAGACCTGGGAGAGAGCGCTCTCTTGCGGTCGGTCTAGGGAATACAATCAACGTTTATGTTCATATTTCCATTCATTCGTTCAGTCGGCCAGCGTGTTTCATGCGCCCATTAGTTTATATACAGAGAAAGCTTACCATCGTGGGTAAGCATGCTGTCTCCGGATTCCAACTCTGCCAGCTGGGCAAGTTTCTTATGTGCTCTGTGCCTCAATTTCCTGAACTGTAAAATGGGAAATAATACCAACCTCTCTCATTGAGTTATTGTTAAAAGGTTAATGGCCCATAGTATATGCTATATAAATTCATATAACAAATGTTCACTGTTTGGGTTGCTGAAACTAGAATTAGAAACAAGACATGGTCTCCTCTTTCAAGGGGTTCCTGTCTCAGAGGTGGCGAGAAATAGTAAACAACTAAGAAAATGCTTAAACAGGTTATCTCAAATAGTAACTAATGCTGGGGCCCGACAGGTGGTGTGGTGGTTAAGGTGTGGACTCCCACATGGTGAACCGTGGTTCAAGTCCCAGACCTGGTGGCTTGCTTTCTCAGTCTCTCTCTCATCAAAATGAATAATAGTAATACATAAATAAAATGAAATAATCCTTAAAGAAATAGTGACTTGGGGCTGGCAGGTGGCGTGGTGGTTAAGGGCACTGGACTCCCACATGATGGACTGCGGTTCAAGTCCCGGACCTGGTGGCTTGTTTTCCTCTCTCTCTCTCTGTCCTTCTCTGGTCAAATTTAAAAAATCAATCAAGTTAAAAAAATATTAAAAAAAGAATAGTGACTGAAGTTATGAAGAAAGTAAATCAGGGTATTGTGATAAAGGGAGGCAGGAAGATCTCAGCACGTTCCAAAAGTTGAAAGAAGGGCAATGAGGCTAAAAGAGAAGCAATGAGGCTGGAGGGCAAGTATGGGGTAAGAAAGGCTAGAGAAGGTTGGAAAGTTGTCCATGGTAATGAGTCAGACCTAAGGTGTTGTATTTTCTGTTACTTTTTTTTTTTAAAAAAAAGAATGTTTTTATTTAGGGATCAGCAGTTGGCATAATGGCTATGTCACTGGACTCCCATGTAGTTGACTATGGTTCGAGTCCCGAACCTGGTGGTCTAAACTCACGCCGGGGGCGTGTGCATGCATGCCCAAGATGAGGAGAATGGAGGAGAAGAGGTTATGGTGTGGCCATCACCTCCCGGGGGGTGATTTCTTGTTTTCTGTCTCTCTGTCTCTGTCTTTCTGGCGAGCACACACTCCCTATAGCAAAAACCTCTCCCAAGGAAAAATATTTTATTTTAATTAATTAATTAATTAATTTTGAACAGAGGGGGACAGAGCTAGTGGGAGAGAGTGGGAAAGTGAGAAAGCAAGCCGCCAGGTCTAGGACTTGAACCATAATCAGCCATGTGAAGTCCAGCATCCTTAACCACTGCGCCACCTACCAGACTCAATTTTCTTTTACTTTACTTTCGTTGATTAAAAGTAGATACACAGGGGCCAGCAGGGGGCGTGATGGTTAAGGTGTTGGACTCGCACATAGCTGACCATGGTTCGTGTACCAACCCATTGGCTTGACAATCCCACAGGGTGGGGGCTGGCAGGTGGCATGGTGGTTGGACACTTGACTCCCATATGTTGGACCACAGGTAGAATCTCTGACCTGGCAGCTTGCTTTCTTACTTTCTCTCTCTACCTCTGTCTCTGGTGAGCGCACTTGCTCTGTACTAAATTAAAATAATGATGATAATTTTTTTTAAACTTTATTTATTTAAATTTGATCAGAGATGGAGACAGAGTGAGAGAAAATGTATGAAAAAAGCATGGAATGAAAATTAAATCCTCTTCTTCTTGCATCCTGTTTATTACTTCCCAGTTCCCCTTACAGAGGTCATCACTAATTTATTAATTAATAATTTTACTCTTTCTCCCCTGAAAGGGACAGAGAGAGGGAAAGTGAGAAAGTCCTCCCCCATGAGAGATGGTCATTGGATGACCATGTTCCTTTTCCACCATTTCTTTATTCAGGATTTTGGGCTTGTGCTTGGTGTATTTTCAAGCCACCTAGTCTGGCACTCAAACCATTCAACTGGCTATGTGGGACCCAACCACCTTAATCACCACGACACGAGTTGGCCCAGGGTAATCACTCTTTTTTGTTTAGTTTTGATTTTATTTTTTGCCATAGACTGTGTACGCTCCCTGGAGAGAGACAGAGAGAGATAAGGATAAGAAGAGAGAGAAGGATAAGAGAGAGATAAGGTAAGAAGTCACTCCCCAGGGAGATGGCCACACTGCATGCAATCCCTTCTCCATTCTCCTCTTGGGATTCTGGGCATGTACGCACACATACTTGGTGTGAGTTTCAAGCTGCTACATCGGGGACTCGAACTAAGGTCCGGCATGTGGGAGTCCAGCTCCTTCACCATTATGATGCTTGCTGGCCCTGTCATCATTCTTAACTTTCCTGTTTAGCCTTTCAGAGATGGGCGCTGTATCCAAAGCATATTAATATGTATAAATATTTATGCATGGGTAGCGTTATAACTATAAACTATAAACACTGTTACACTTTGCTTTTTTCACTGAATTCTATTTTTTGTTTTTAGAGAGACTTTAACTATAGGGTATGTGCTCTCACTGGAGAGAGAGAGAGACAGAGAGACAGAATGTGAGAAATCACCCCCCTCGGGGGATGACCACACTTCTCCTCCATTCTCCTCTAGGGATTTTGGGCACACATGCACACACACCTGGCATGAATTTTAAGTCAACCATGTCTGGGATTCCATCCGCGGTTGACTACATGGGAGACCAAAATAACCATTAAGCCATCTGCTGGCTTCTGAGCTCTGTATTTTAAAGCTGCCTCAATTTTTAAGATTAATGTACAACTTTATAAGGATGTGCCATAATTTAAATGTCCATTTCCCTATTTGGGAACATGCAGATAGTTTCCAGTCTTTTCCTATTACAAATAATGCTATAGCTTGTTCATTGATTGATTATTCTGCGTACATGGGAGTTTAAGGTCAAAATTTCTGAGGATGGAATTGACAGTAAATGAGCGTATTAATTTGGTTTTGTTTTATTTTAATGGATATTGCCAAGGTGTTCAGCATAGGAATTGTACTGACCTATTCTTTTTTTTTTTTTTTTTTTGAGAGAGACTTTTGCCATAGAGTAGGTTTGCTTGCTGGAGAGACAGAGAATGACACAGAGAGACAGAGAGAAAGAAAGCAAGAAATCAACCCCCAAGGGGGTTGACCATGCCACAGTCCCTACTCCTCCATTTTCCTTTTTGGAATTTTGGTCACACACGCAAATGTACCTGGCATGAGTTTCAAGCCACCAGGTCTGGGACTTGAACTGCACTTGGCCATGTGGGAGACCAGCACTTTAAACACTATGCCACCTGTTGGCCACCCAGCCTATTCTCCTTTTTTTCTTTATTTGCTATAGCATGTATGTACTGGCCAGAGAGAGAGACAGAAAGCAAGAAATCACACCCCAAGGGGGATGGTCACGCTGCAGTACCTTCTCTTCTCAGGATTTTTGGTGGCCTGCTTTCTCTCTCTCTCTCTCTCTCTCACTCTCTCTGTCTCTCTCTGGTGGGTACACATGCCCTGTAGCAAATTTTTAAAAATAATAAATAAACAAAATAAAATAATTCTTAAAAGAAGGTTCCTGTGTACTAAACTATTGTTAAGATTTCCAACATGAGGGAACTCTAGGACTAGTGGTATGACTGTTGAAGTTTGACACTAACTGCTGCTAACTTCTCATTAGTCTTACTCAGTTTATCTGATAATTATTTTATTTTTTAAGAGAGATATTTTAAAGATATTTATTTATTTATTTCCATTTGTTATTATTATTATTATTATTATTATTATTTAAATTTGACCAGGTAGAGACAGAGATAGAGAGAAAGGGAAAGTGAGAAAGTAAGCCTGCAGGTCCGGGACTCAAACCACTGTCTATCATGTGAGAATTCAGTGCCTTTCACCACCATGCCACCTGCTGGCTCCTAGAGAGAGATTTTTTGCTACAGAGTAAGTGTGCTCCTTGGAGAGACAGAGAGAGATAGAGAGATAGAAAGTGAGAAATCACCCTCTGGCAGGGTGGCCACATCACAATCTCGTCTCCTCCATTCTCCTCTCAGCATTCTGGGCATGCACACATATGCACATGATGTGTTTGAAGCTGCCAGGACTGGGACTTGAACTGCAGTTGACTCCATGGGAGTCCAGTGACGTAACCATTACACCATCTGCTGGTCCCCTGATAATGATTTTTCTAACTCGTGATTCTTTTATATAGAGATACTTACATTTTTCCAATTCTTTTTTATTAGAATCTTCTTGAGAAGCTCTTATTTTGAAGAGTTCGGATTCCAGGGACCAGCAGGTGGCATAATAGTTCTGTTGCTGGACTCCCATGTAGTTGACCACAGTTCGAGTCCCAAGCCCAGCGGCCTAAACTCACACCA